AGGCATAGGAAATAACTTTTTAAATAGAACTCCATAGCCAGGAAATAAAAGCAAGAATTGACAAATGGCTTTCTATCAAATCTAAACAGCTTCTGCCTGGCAGTGGAAAGAACAGATTGAATTTAAGAGAAAATCTTAATATGACTTAAGAGAAAAATCTTTGCCAGCTGTTTATCTAAATGGAATGAATATTCAGAATATATAGAACTCAAAACTTAAACACTGAAGGAACAAATAAGTTGGATGCCTGGCTCATGCCTGGAATCCTAGATACTCAGCAGGCTGAGTAAAAGAGTAAAGTCAAAGAAAACTGACTTGTTTGTCAGCCAAAATTTGGCCTCACTAAACCATGGCCACCACTGACCTGAATTCAGAACCTTCAATTTTACTCTTACTGATACAAACAGTTCTCCAACCAAATGGTGAGAGGTCCAAGGTCCCCTAAACCCAAGTTCTTCTCTACCTTTGATCCAGAGACCCCCCCCCCAACTCGTCCTGTTCTGCCCACCAAGTTCTTCTCTGACCTCCACTTCTGAGCCACCCCTCCTCCCCCTCTTGTGCCTTGCTCACAAAGTCTTTCTCTGCAGAAAGCCTCCCAGCCCAAAGGCAACTTTCTTTATCCTTTTTTAAATTTTACTTTATTTTATTTTTGTTTTTTGTCTGTCATAGGCCTTGATCTCTGGGCCTGAGTGTTGTCTCTGAGCTCTTCTGCTCAAGGCCAGTGCTCTACCATTTGAGCCACAGGGCCACTTCTGGTTTTCTGGCGGTTAATTGGAGATAAGAGTCTCACAGACTTTCATGCCTGGGCTGGCTTTGAACAACAATCCTCAGATCTCAGCCTTTTGAGTAGCTAGATTTACAGGCATGAGCCACCGGCGCCTGGCCAACTTTCTTTATCTTGGAGCAGCTCAATCTTCGCGCCCCCCCCCCCCCACTCTCTCTCTGAGAACCTCCAGATTGGAACAAGTCATCCCAGCAACAAACCTGGACAGTCCTGGTGAACAGGGACCACACACGACCAGACAGTTGGGAAAACTGCTCAGCTAAGAGGGGATGGTATCAGATCTTAAATAGAGTCACTTGGTGCTTGTCCTTTCAAAATTGACCAGATCTGGGAGATCAAGAGAAAATATTTCATAAGCATGCCTATCTAATATCCATACCTATCTACCATGTAACTGTTCAGGTACTTAGCATTCTTGCTTTTGTTACCTGCTATTTCTATTTCTCATCCATACTATATAGTCCAGACATCTATAATCCAGTTATATAAAAATCCCTCCTTCCCTGTAATAGGCCACAACTGGGATTATGCTCCAAGTGGAACTTTTCTGACATGTGCCTAGGGTATGTTTTCCTCTGTCATTCATCTCAACTAGTCCTGCCACCTTGTCAGCTTTTTGCCTGATCTCACCTTTTTCAAGTTTATAACAGGCTAACAGTCCTCACTGAGGACACTACCTGGGAGCACATCAAGGCCAACGTATTACTGCAGGCAACCAGAGGGTTAGTTTACACCATTATGCCCTGTCCAACACAAACATGGACCCTGAAGACTCCAGCCCCAATGACTCCTCAATGCCCCCATGTCAGCAGGAAGTAGCCAGAAAAGACCATGACATCCCTCAACTTTTTATACTCCTTCAGGGCTTCAAATGATGGGAAACTACCTTATTCTTGTAACTCCATGTTGCTCCCCTCTCTGCCCATCCTTTCTATGTATCCAAAGATGAACTATGAAGGATTGATTCCCACCCTGTTTTCCCAGGTGCATACAGATACCAGGGAACCCACCAAAGATAAGTGCAGACTGCCTGACTCCAGCAGGACGATCTATCTAAGCCTGTCTGTAAACATTCCATCGTGGGCCCAACTGAATCCCACTCCCCCTCCCTTGACCTAATGGCTTTTTCATTAACCTCTGCCTCCTTAATCAGACCTCATAAAACCCCATTCCTGAGCCCAGCTCTGATACACAGTCTCCAAGCCCATGGGAATGCTGTGTCCCTTGCTGCTCTATCTCAATAAACAGTCTTCGCCTGTGGAACATTGAATCTTGCCTGTTTCCTTCTCTTCTCTTCCATTTTCTTAACACCCATCAACAGATGAATGCATGGAAAATATCATATACACATATAAATCAACTATAAAGAAGAAAGTAGTTATATGGTTTGCAGGAAAACGGTTGGAACTGGAGGCCATCAATTTAAGCCAAATAAGCCAGACTCTGGAAGATAATACCATGTCTTCTCTCATCTGTGGGATTAAGATCTAAAAAGAAAGGGAGAAAGTACATGAACATTAAAAATGAGGCCATTTTCAGGGAGGGGAACTAGTTTGAGGTAGAATGAGGGAAAAGCCAGGGAAATATAAGTAAAGTACATTTTCTGCACATATGAAAAACATTTTTAAATCTTTGCAAGAAGTTTTAAGGTGATTTAAGAGGGGATAACAAAGAAATTGAGGGGACAAATATAATTAAAACACATTATTTACAAGTACAGAAATATAACTGAAAACACTCACTTTGTACAATAAATGTGTGTTATTAGTGATAACGGAATTCTAAAAAGAAAACATGGTATATATGCTCAATGGGGTTTAATCAACTATAAAGAAGAATGAACCGGTGTGGTTTGAAGGAAAGTGAATGGAATCAAGATCATTTAAAATGAAATAAGTCAGTTTCACAAAGACAAGTATTATGTGTTTTCTCTCACATGTGGGACACAGGGAAGAAGGGCGACATGGAAATAAAAGGGTGGAGGACTTCAAGTGGAAGAGGAAGGGCAGGTAGTAAAGGTAATAGAGGAGTGCATATGACTGAAGTACATAATACCCATTATGAAGATGTCATAATGAAGCCCCATATTTTGTGCAATTAATATGCATTAGTTCTTTGTGTATGTGCCAGTCCTGAGGCTTGAACTCAGGGCCTGGGCACTGTTCCTGAGTGTTTTGCTCAAGGCTAGCACTCTATCACTAGAGCCACAGCTCCACTTCAGGTTTTTTTGGGGTAGTTTATTCGCGATGAGAGTTTCATGGACTATCTTGCCTAGGCTGGTTTCAAACCATGATCTTCACATCTTAGCTCCTGATTAGCTAATATATTTTAATTTCAAGAAAAGAAAATCTGTAATCTTACTATATATATGATAAACGGCAGTAGCGTCTATGGCAATAGCTACCGGACCCAATGCAGCCTCTGCCACTGGCTGAGGGTCAGGCTCCCAGTCCGCATGGGCTGAAACCAGCTGTGACTCCCATCACAAGTGACTGGGGCCGCTGAGAGACGGGGCTTTGCTGGGACACCAAAATGCCGCGGAAGACACTTCGGCCCGGGCGGAGGGGTCAGTTCCCAGTGCTGCCCACCACCTCGCCCAGTCATAGCGCTTCCACCGGAGCCTCGTGGAAGGCACAAGAACAGATAGTGCTCTCTTCTCCATTCTGGACCCACACAGAACTAAATAAACCCTGACTCCACACACGAAGGCCCAAATTTTAAGTGACAGTATGGGATCAATCTCAGGACTACATTTGTCAAAGCACATCATTGTATCTAGCCGCCTTTGGATCTTGTCGAGCCTCATCTTGTCGTTGACCAATCAGAAGGCAAAATTTGCTTTCAGAGGCGGGACTAGCAAGGGACTTATTGGAAGACAAGAGACAGATCCAGAGGGCGGTCCTGAAGACCCCTAGTGACCTCTCTGGGCAGTAGGTTGTGGACAGGAATGGGCGGAGTCTTTAGACTGGATCTTAGGGGCTTCCAGAAAGAAACTGGGAAGCAAATTCAAGAACACTGTGATCCGCAGGCGAGATGAGACTCGGAATCTCCAGGGTGTTGGACAAATTTTGATGCCCAGAAGTCTGAATTATTATAAATAAATCTCTTCCAAGAAATTACCTCCATCCCGCGGAATACAGGTTTGAGAATCAGTGAATCATAGCGGATTTTAAGGGTCTGGTTACTCTAAGGCTGTTGGGAAGAAGCTCTTACTTGGCTCACTATACCGGGCTCGTTCCTCCCAATCCCCGGAGACCAAAAAGCTATTAAACCGGAAATGGGACCACTTCCAAAGCAGCTGAAGCTAGGTGGAAGCCTGGGAGAGCCCTAGCCCCTCCCATGTCAGCATCCTTTTGGGCTCTGAACGCGGCGGGGTGGCGTGAGGCCTGCTGGGAGATGTAGTCCAGAGCTCAGTTCTGCGCTTGCGCTTTGAGCAGTTGCCGGTGAGCTGGGGAGAGCTGTGGGCGCCGAGGCGGTGAGTCCCGGAGCGGCCAGAGGGCGTGGCCGTCCCTGGGGCGCAGGAGCGGGTAACGGGGCTCCCTTCGCCAGCCTGGGCCTGTGGAGCTGGCAGATTCCAGATGTGCTCTGGGCGCTAGGCGCAGAGAGCAAGGAAGGGCGGCGGGCCCCTATCCGATCAGAGACCCCGTCGCCGCTCCCTGCGACCTGGCCAGGCCTTCCTGGGAGTCTTCCCAGGGTAGGAGTACCCCTCTGGGCAGATGGACCTTGTCGCCTAGTTGCTATTGGAGACCACACCCGTGAAATTGGCATCAGATTTTAAAACGAGCTTTTAGACTTTTCGGGGCATGTCAGGCTTGCGTTTTCCCTAGTGCCCTCTTTTCTTACCGTTTTACTAGTAGGCCCTGTAAGGGTGGGTTTACTCCAGGGAGGTTTAAGGGAAAACCACTAATCCCACAATGAAATGAACTTTTAACTGGGCAGGGCCCATGGAAGGAAACCCGAAGGGTCACTTCCCTGGTAGACGTGATGGAAGGTTTTGGGTCAGTTATGGGGAGGGCTGGCCAGCTGTGAAGCTGGAGCCAATTAACGGGTGGGTCTGCAGCCAAAAACCGCTGTTCCTGGATTCCCTCCAGCAATGGTTGGATGTCTAGGCTCAGGAAAGTAGAAGCTTCCTAGGAAGGAGTCGTTACCAGCAATAAACTTTAATTGAGTCCTTTCCTGGTGCCAGTCAAGCTGCTATTCACTTTCTATGCAATTGGTTCTGCACAGGATACTTTATGAACTCCAAGTTATGATTATGCACACCTTGCTGACAGATGGATTGGGCATCAAGATACCACAACAAGTAGGTTATTGTGCCTAGATCCATCTGCCACTAGAGTTGAGTTTACTGTCACTGTAAAAAGGGTTATGAGGATACAACTTCAATTTTTGATGACTGAGTAGGAAGAAAGTCATGAGTATTTTTTTTTTCAGCAATCCCTTCAAGAATCTTTCCTGGAGAGGAAAGGTATATCAAATACAGGTGCAGGTCATATGACCTGAGGAGACCTCAAAAGTGTTGTGTTGTTCCTCTTATATTTACTTTTAAAGCCTTCATATATTCAGAAACACAAGACACATGGAATAGACTCAGAATGTGTTTAAGGCAAGCAAATCTAAAAATACCTGGAGGCTTATTAATGGCATAGTTCTTACACTTGGGTCCATGGAAGATTAGAAGAGAGGTGCCCATTGGAACTTTTTATCATAATGTTTACTGAGAACTTTATTTTTGAGTAGTATGACTGAGAAACTAAATTTTTAAAATTAAAGTATCACATGAGACCATTGACTATCATATGGACAAGCACAGCTTTGAGTATGTTGATGAACTTTGAGATCTTGCGAACATCTAAAATATATGAGGAATTTGTGTGTGTGTGTGTGTGTGTGTGTGTGTGTGTGTGTATTTTACTGAAAAGTGAGTCTACAACTTTTATCTGATTCTTAAACCACAATGAAGAGTTTCAATTGTTCATTTCGGTCTTTGGGGGAAAAACATGAATATGCCCTCTTCTGACCACTGCGGTTTCTCTTTTTTCATATTTTCTTGTCTTCAGCTTTAGGTGGCTCCCCTGAATTATTAAGTAAAAAAACATAAACAAACCAGGAACCAGAGACCTCAGGCCCCAGATCAATCGTAAACTTCTAGAAAGGGCAATGGCTGTGGCCCTAGGTTGTGCCATCCAGGCCTCCTTGAATCAGGGCTCTGTGCTGCAAGAGTATGACACAGACTGTGAAGTATTCCGCCAACGTTTCAGGCAGTTCCAGTACACAGAAGCAGCTGGACCTCATGAAGCTTTCAACAAACTCTGGGAGCTTTGCTGTCAATGGCTGAAGCCAAAGATGCGTTCTAAGGAACAAATCCTGGAGCTGCTAGTGTTGGAGCAATTCCTAACTATTCTGCCCACGGAGATAGAGACCTGGGTGAGGGAACACTGCCCAGAAAACAGAGAAAGAGTCGTGTCTCTGATAGAAGATTTACAGAGAGAACTTGAGATACCAGAGCAGCAGGTGAGAAAGAGTTTGGGGTCTTCATCCTTAGGCCAAAAGAACCGCTGAGGCAGTTGGGTCTAGACAAGGCTTTTTATGTCCATGCCATTCTACAGCCTCAAGACTTCTCCACGGCCCATTCATTTTTCTCTTCTGCTGGAATCATTATCTGGGTCAGTGGCTGTCAACCATATCTCACTCCATTCCCTCTCTATAAGACATACATTGTAATGTCCTCTGTATTGTCATTAAAGGAAATTCATGGATAGCAAAACTCATTTAAATATTGGCCTGAAGGCCAGTTCAAGCCACAGCCTGTGTCTATGCACTCTGAATGTTTATAATGGTTTTACTTTGTTAAATAGTTGTTTTAATCAAGAAGTAGATGAAGTGATAAGGTAAATGTGACCCACACGTTTGCAAACATTTATACTTGGGCATTTTTTTTTCCTTCAGAAGCTTTTCCACCCTTAGTTGTGTAGCCTAGAAAGGATAAAAGGAAAGGGAATGAAGTCAGTTGTAAGCTAGTATGTATTTCTGCATATACATATTGCAGATTCACCTCACACAATAGCGCTAGGAAATCCTTGCATTCACACAGCATCCCTGCTGCTTAGAATTGCTATAATGGGGTTAGTCAGGAATTCTTGCTACAGGTCAAGTGCTATGAGAAATGTTGCTACCTGTCACATGATTTCTCAAAGTAGTTTCTTTTTTTTTATTGTGAAAATACCGTACAGAGGGGTTACAATTACATGGGCAAGGTAATGAGTACATTTCTTATCAAGCATTGGTACCTCCTCCTTTGTTTCCCCTTCCCATCCCTTCCCATCTCCCCTCCCTCACCCCCCCACTAGTTTCTTCTTATATATTGTTTCCTATGACCTCTGGAAAACTGACATGTGTGGCTCATTGTACTCCTCCTGGGTTAGCAGCTTATTTGGAGTGAGAAAAAATTAGTTTTGCTAATTTTGTGGGTCTAGATTGTGGAATGATGAGTTCTGGCCTTTCCTCCAGGTCAACATGCATGACATGCTTTTGGAAGAATTGGCACCGGTGGGGACAGTACCCATGCCACCAAATATGCACCTGGAGTCACCTGCACTCCAGGTAATGGGAACTGTCCAGGACCCCCCGGTAGCAGAGGCCTGGATCCCACAGCCAGGGCCACAGGAGATGGACTATGGTGCTGCTGGTCAATGCCAGCCCTTTCTGGATCCTGGTAAGACAAGGATTTATTTTCTGTTTCTCTGTTGGAGAGTTCAAGAGCTCTAGGGGTTTGTATTGGGAAGAAAAAAGTATTAATTCTCCAATCAAAATGGACCTCTTAAAGTATTGGAGAAGGGAGAGAAGGAGTAGGAAATCTCTCTGGAAACACTAGCAAGGAACAATGGTCTTTGGGTAGATTGGTGCTCAGAAGTAGATAAACTATTGGCCTTTCTCAATGGGCTTTTCTTTAAAAAAAAAAAAAAAAGCAAGATTAGTATTTGGGAAAACCTATGGTTGGAGATAAGATCCTCCAGGTGAGGAATCATTTGTCCATCTTTTGAGCTATAGGATCTGTAATGTGGTTCACAGAGACCAAAGTTACTTTTAGCATAAGTACTTCATTCAGATTGAATACCCAAGTAATATGTTCTCTTCAGATCCTTGAAGGGGGTGCAGTCACAGAGTGTAAAGGAAATAAATACAGCCTAGAAGAGTTCTCTAAGTGTGGTAAACAGGTCCTCTACATCAGCATAACCCAGAGGTGCAGAGGTTACACACTTACTAGGTAAGCCCTTCACAAGCAAAAGTTTCAGAATTAACCAGCTGCTGGTGGCTCATGCCTGTATTCTAGCTACTCAGGAGGCTGAGATCTGAGGACTGTTCAAAGCCAGCCTGGGCAGGAAAGTCCATGAGACTCTTATTTCTAATTAATCACCAAAAAGGTGGAACTGGAACTGTGGCTCAAGTGGTAGAGTGCCAGGCATGAGTAACAAAGCTAAGGGATAGCATCCAGGCTCTAAGTTCAAGGTCCAGTACCAGAATGCACACACACACACACACACACACACACACACACACACACACACACACACATTTGAGGCTTACTGCCCATGTGACATGACATTGTGAGTTGCAGAAGGCACAAATCCAGTGGAGAAAGGCAATGAGAAATCATAGCCAATGAACTCCTGTATTTTCCTTCCCTTTGGGGTTCTTATACATTGTTGTCCATGCTCCCTGCCCCTGCCGTTGATCCAAGTGTGGTCACAGACAGCTTAGATATTGTGGCACATGGGCCAACTGTGTAATACTGACACAACAAAAGAGACCAAGAAAATGGAAAGCAATCAAGTATAGCCAAAGTTACAAAGGAAAAATGTCTGATATGTCCATAGTACCACAGAGTTTAGCAACTACATGCCTTTTCTCATCTTAACAATTTTTTTACATATCCAAGACTTTTTTTCCTAAGTAATTTGCCAGCTTTTCATCTTAACAATTATTAAGTCATCTGACATCATGATCCCCTGGGAAGAACCAGGCTCTGTGCTAGATTTTGGGATTCGGTAGGACTCAAGGCCGAAAAGCATTGGGATTCTTAGGCTCTGGGCAGTTCAGCTATGTTCATAGGAGAGCTTGTCTGTGCGTGAAGTGGGAGGTGCATTGGAGGGTGTGGGATGCTGGAGAGTGCATTGCAGGGCCAGCTCGACAGCTTTAGGTGGAAAGAGAGGGGTGTGGATAAACACTCACAGGATGGACTGCAGGGCTAGCAGTTTGAGGGGTGCAAGTAAAGATGGGAGAGGACTCTGGGCAGGAGGATCATCATGTGCAAAAGCTCGGGGACCAGAGAAAAGAACTTGTGCTGCTCTGTGGGGGGTGGACAGGAACAAGGGGAGCAGTGTTGATGAAAATGAGATCAAAGGGATGATCCCTATTTTATTTAGCCGGTGTGGCTGCCTGGCTGTTAGTTGATGGGTAAGAACAGGTGAATGTGACATCTAGCTCTCTGTCCAGTGACCTGGACACGTGGCAATATTATTCACTGACATAGACAATATAGTGTATGGTGAGAGGGTAAGATTTGCTGCCTCAAGGTGATGTTAGATTTGACCATGTAGTTTTTGGGTACTACTGCTAAGTATATTTTAAAGAAATGGCGAGAAAGAGAAAACTCAAGTCCATATTTAAATCGATTGGTTAAATCAGAACCATATAATATTATAATGTTCTGATCTTGCATCACTTTCATTTTATAGGCCATTACATACTTCAAAAATTAATGGATTTGGGCTGGGAAGGTGGCTCAGTGGTAGAGCGCTTGCCTTGCATGCCTGAGGCCCTGGGTTCAATTCCTCAGCACCACATAAGAAAAAAGCTGGAAGTGGCGCTGTGGCTCAAGTGGTAGAGCGCTAGCCTTGAGCTGAAGAGCTGAGGGACAGCGCCCAGGCCCAGAGTTCAGGCCCCACGACTGGACCTCCCCAAAAAATTAATGGATTTATATGTAAATGCCTGTTACTAATGGTAGAACTTAAATTAATACTGTTTCAGCACACAATTCATTGACTTTCCATTAATTAGAATGTTCATTCCTTTTGTTTTGTGATTTTGATACTGGGTACTGGGGCTTGAACTCAGGGCTGAGGTATACTGCCTCTGGACATTGTTTACTCTTCCATTTGTGCCACAACTCCACTTCTTTTTTTGGTAGTTAATTAGGTATGAATCTCACAGACTTTCTCACCTGGACTGGCTTTGAACCATGATCCTCAGATGTCAGCCTCCTGAATTACTAGGATTACAGGCCTGAGCCACTGGCACCTGCCTTCTTTCTGTTTTTGTTCTGTTCTTAATCTGTTTCTAAAAAGTCTTTTGTAAATGACTGCAATGATGTAACAGTAATCGAGGAGGAAGTAGATATTAAGAGGCCATGTAAGGGCTGGGAATGTGGTTTAGTGGTAGATTGCTTGTCTAACACACATGAAGCCCTGGGTTCGATTCCTCAGTACCACATAAACAGAAATAGGCCAAAAAGTGGCTCAAATGGTAGAGTGCTAGCCTCGCACAAAAGAAGCTCAGGGACAGTGCCCAGGCCCTAAGTTCAAACCCCAGGACTGGTAACAACAACAAAAAAGAGGTGATATATCCTGGAAATCAGCCTAAACTCTGGAAAAGTCTTTTTTTTTATTATTGTGAAAACACCATACAGAGGGGTTACAATTGATGAACCAAATTATCATGCTTGCCTTTTTTTATGACCAGGATATCCATTACCAAAGCTTGATGTGAACTTCCCATTGGATCATAGGGAAGAGCCATGGGTGAAGGAATTACAGGATTCCAAAGAAATGAAACAATTACTTGATTCCAAAATAGGTAAGAAATCAGGATAAAAGAGCTTAGAATACTGTTGAGGAAAGTGTATATTCCTGCTAATAATTTCATATACCTCTTCATTTTCTTTCCCTTTTTTGTTGTAGTTTTTGTGGTGGTTGTTGTTTTGGTCAATCGTGAGGCTTGAACTCTGGGCCTGAGCACTGTCCCTCAGCTCTTCAGCTCAAGGCTAGTGCTCGGCCACTTTGAGCCACAGCCCCACTTCCAGTTTTCTGGTGGTTAATTGGTGATGAGTCTCACAGTCTTTCCTGCTGGGGCTTTGAACCATGATCCTCAGATCTCAGCCACCTGAGTATCTAAGATTATAGGTATGAGACACCGGTGCCTGGCTTCTTTCACTTTTTTTTCCCCTCTCGGAATGCAATGTCATATATGTTTTCTATTTCTTAGGGTTTGAGCTCGGCATTGAAAATGAACAAGATGCTTCAAAACAGAAAAAACTGGAAAATATGTATCCATTTATTGTAACTTTAGAGGGCAATGCTCTTCAGGGTCCTATTTTGCAAAAGGACTATGTCCAGTTAGAAAACCAATGGGAACCACCTCCAGAGGATTTACAGACAGATTTAGAAAAACTTGTAGATCCTCCAAACCCTACTCTAGGAGAGACACCTGAGACCTCCAGTTTGGAAGAACCTCTCAACCCTAAGCCTCAAAAGAAAAAGAATCCAGGGGAGAAACCCCATCGGTGTCCTCAGTGTGGAAAATGTTTTGCTCGGAAATCACAACTCACTGGGCACCAGAGAATTCATTCTGGAGAGGAGCCTCACAAATGCCCTGAATGTGGAAAACGGTTCCTTCGTAGCTCAGACCTTTATAGACACCAACGACTTCATACAGGAGAGAGACCCTATGAATGTACTGTATGTAAAAAGCGATTCACTCGGCGGTCACACCTTATTGGGCACCAGAGAACCCATTCTGAAGAAGAAACATACAAATGCCTGGAGTGTGGGAAAAGTTTTTGTCATGGATCGAGTCTTAAAAGACATCTGAAAACTCATACAGGTGAAAAACCTCATAGATGTCATAATTGTGGGAAAAGTTTTAGCCGGCTGACAGCACTTACTTTGCACCAGAGAACACATACTGAAGAGAGACCTTTTAAATGTAATTACTGTGGGAAAAGCTTTAGACAGAGACCAAGCCTTGTTATTCATTTAAGAATCCATACAGGGGAAAAGCCATATAAGTGTAGTCATTGTTCAAAAAGCTTCAGACAGAGGGCAGGCCTAATTATGCACCAAGTGACCCACTTTAGAGGACTTCTTTGAGAATTGTTAAGGGAAGAAGTAGGTCCTACAAAAATTAACACTAACCCAAAAAATTGTAGCCTATAGTAGCTTGTCTTGGAAGAACCGTATAAGAACACTTTCTTAGGGGGTATTTTTCAAAACCTGTCTTCCAAGGTATATGACTTCTAGAGTATCTACCTATTCTTGCAACATTCCTACATTTGATTTATCCTGTGTATGCAACCTCTTTTTTATTGCAATGGCAAGTTTTGTGTTGTAAAGCAACCATATGATACATATAAACACAAAGCATGTAAATGATGACGGTCTTTGTAGGGGTAGGGTCAATATAATCAATGATTATGTCTATCTAACATATCTGTTATAGCAGTACCATACACATTCTGCTATAATATTATTAAAGGTGATTATGTGACCACAAAGCTTTAGATGTGCCCCCAGTTGGCAACAGGAGGCAATGAATTTTGTCAAACAATAAAAATGTGTCAGTAGTATGAAGATGAATTTGCCTGGTAAGATAAGAACTGGGTCATTGCCATTAAAGTTTTTATGTTTAAAAAAGTTAAGATTTTTAACTTTGACTTGAGACTTTTGCAAAATTTGCTCACCTGAATTTGGCAGTCTGGTATGGTGATTAGAGCGGAGTAGTAAGTTTGTAATTAAGCTCTAGGGCTGGCAGAAATCACTTGAGAGTTGAAATTGTACCAGTAGGATTGAAATTAATTTAGATTGATGCAATGCCTTTTCACTCTCCTTTGGTAATTCAGTCAAGTGACTTTCAGTGCTTTTAAATTGTACCCATTCTTTAATTCAGTGTCATCCAAGGTAAATGGCATAGACCATTTAGTTCTACAACATATTCTGCAGTTAAGTTTGGGAATTGCTATCTACCTAGATTCATAATGCATATCAGTTTGTGAGAGAGATCCTAGTCTAGTAAAGGAAGATAAAGCACCTCTTTTGGCTCAGTGTTTTTCAAACTTATTTGATGTCCACCTAGTATTAACTTAGAGAACTAGTATTCTGCAAACACTTTCTGAAACACACTGCCTTATGCAAATACCTTTATAGCTATCAGTGTAGTCTTTTTTGAGGCCAAGCTAGTTATCTCCAGCTATTTCAAGAGTTCTCTATAAAACTCTTTAAAGACATACATCTTGTGTATCATACAAACATATAAATTTCCCAGTGATTCTCAATGTTTTTGCATTTACTTATTATTACATACACACACAGACACATACATACATATTTGAAAGAGGTAAGGGTCACTAATTCAAATGATTTATAACTTATCTGGTAATTCTCAACCTTTTTCAGTTTTAGTTATGATTACACACACATACATGCACACATATCGCTACTTATATAAACATTCTCATATAATCATGATAATTCAAATTCCCATAATAAGGGAAGAAGTCTCTGCATCTGTTAAACTGTTGATATGTGAAAATATCTGTTGAGCCTAATTCCTTGTTATCAGATATAAGAAATGGAACATTCAAGCATTTTCCCTTTATGAAGATTTCCAGCCATCCTTTCCTTAAACTAAGAGTAGGGAAAATACATCTCTTCTCTGGCATTGAAGTTCTTGGAAGTGATGTCTAAGTATTTTGGGGTTGTGTACTATGTGCCTAACTAGTCCTAGGCTTAATGGAAACTAGCAATGAAGTATAATTCATAGGTAAGACATTAAGAGTATAATATCTCTAGTTAAACAAGAGTTGGGAAACAAATGGAAAATAATGCAAGGGAGTTCATAATTAAGTGCCAAATCATATCAAGTGCCAGAGCCAGGATGTGTCTTTAATTTGTGGCATCCAGGTCCTTGTATTATGCTGCTATAAGCCTGAGGTTAAAATTGAGACCCCAGTAGCAATAAACCTCACACGGGAGGAGTCTGAATGTAGAGATGAAAAATTCCGAATGTAATGGCTTCTCTTTCTCTCTTGTGGAATAGCATTCAAACCAGAACAGTGCCTTAGAATGGATGTACCCAACTGCTCTGTATTTATACAATATTTTAATAAAGTGGTAATGTATATATGCTCTTCCTGCTTCTCTCACATTAAGTAGTTGAACAACCTAGAACTGCTTCCTGAACAATGGCAACAAGCATCACTATTGATTCCTGTTCGCATTCCAAGTTGTATTCACCTTTTGTGTCAATAATCCTGGTGCTGCAATTTAGGCATTATTATTTTTTTTAGCATTTAATAGAATAAATTTTAGCTAGTAGGGTTAAATATAATCATAATATTGAGCTGTGCACACCCTTTCATCTACATCATAAACTCATGCTTAGATTTTTGCAGGTTAGAAAACATGAATAATTGTGGCAGTCAATCAAGAAATATGTGAAATCATTCTTGGAAACAGATTACATAGAACATTGCATATTATGTGCCTAATTAGTGCATATACAACATTTACCTCCTATTACAAAGAGTAAAAAATAATACCCACCTCATAAATACAGTGAAAATTGAGCAAAGTATATTTTGTTTAGGCCCTACCTACATAATAGAAGCTTTCAATAAATTTCCAGCAACGTATTCTCATTTTTTGTTCTGTAAGGGTAAAAGCATTTAAGGATATATATTTTTTCTCCTAAGTAGAGCTTTGATTACATTCCATTATTTTACATATAATGCTCTTGATTTCAAATTTTTGCTACTGTATTTTTCATTATAACTATCCTTTGACCCAAGATATATATTGTGTTGTCATTTTCCTTTTAAGTTTTGGCTTTTCTATGTTGCAATTAGGAGATAGATTTCATGTTATTTCTGCGTATAACCTCATTTTGTCTCTTTTTATTCACAAATATTAATTATAAAAAGGGTTTTTATGGTGGCATTTCATTTATGCATATTTTATACTTTGATCAGATTAATTCCTTCTATTGCTTCCCTTCCCTCCCCCTATTTTTCAACAGCCTTCAGTGGATTTCTTTATAACATCTTCATATGTATACAATGTATTAAATCAATTTGGTTTCTTAAAAGATTTATATTTGACAAAATTTGATAGCTATCCTATATATTCTAGAAAACAAGTGTTTCTGTTCATGAGTACAAATGTAGAATGCAGTCTTTGCCCTGTCAATTGCTTTAATATCTTTAGGATTATTCCTGTGACATAGAGATTAGATTGTTCCCCATTCTGAGTCCCTCCCATTTTGTACTCCCCCTTCCCTTGGTAAAGGTCTTGGTCCCTTTTCTTTCCCTTTCACTTCATGTGTTCTATGAATGATGTATAATGATTGTTAATAGCTGCCTGAGTATTATTAAGGCTACCAGTAAACACAGAAGGCTAGAAGGCCTAGAAGGAGCCACATCCCCACTGGTAAGCCAGGCTGACAATGCTCACCCTCAAGATATTATCCTTTTCTTGCCTCCTAAAAGGAGTGGGAACCTCGAGTAGTCTATCTAAATTTTTGGCAACCTGAACAAGATTGTTAATGTAGAAGTATGGGGAAAATAAATAAATAAATAAAGAAAGAAATCAGGCCTCATATGTCTTACCACAAGGTGGCAGAAAAGGGTCATAGAACTCTTCCTCTTGCATTTGCTGCCTGCTGGGCATCTTGAAGGGAAATAGCTTAGAGCCCCTGCAGGAAACTGCCTGGGAATTATTCCTCAGCCTTCTCAGTCCCAGCTTCCTGGTGTTAGTTGGAAATAACCACACTTTATGCTTACACCTGAGCCATCCTCCAGATTCTTTCCTAGTCCACCGTAACACATGTGCAATGAGTTGTAAAGAGAATCTATTTCTTAAGTCTCCCTTTTGCAGTCAAACTGCCTTACCTATTCTACAGTTCTAGTTCCCATGAGATATGGATGATGGACTATATTCCTTTCTCACATGAATAATATTTGGTTGATTTCTATGAAGTCTTCTCCAGCTTAGAGTTAGGCAGGTCTCAGAAATCTAGAAAAAGACAAATTCACATTTTCTAAGAATAAGATACTAAAACACGGAATTTCTCATGTATTTTAAGCATTTGCCTTTACTGAACATCTATCACCTACTACAAAAATATTAATGTATACATTTTTTAAAACTTTTTAAAAGAAAGCCTAAAAAAATACGTATTTTTGGAAGGTCAGGCCATACCTGTTGGCCCTAGGATTGGCCTTTTTATCCTTTCCTGTGAAGGTGGAAAAGTGGAGGGCAAGAAGTGAAGAAATAGAGGCCACTGTCCTTGGAGTGTAGTAAAGGTAAACACTTAAGCTGTCTTAACTCCAGAGACCATTTATCCTGAGAAAGGCTGAGTCAATCCCTCTTCCTTAAGATAGTACTCCCATGGTGCCCCCTATACCTACACATTAAAGGAAGAGACAAGGAAAACTGTAATTCTCATCCCAATTTCTTCACTTTCAAGCAAAGCAGTAGCATACTAAGCACTGAGAAGTTTGAAGTTTACCAAGCAAATTACCTTGACCTTAAATTGCCAACTCTTTTTTTTTATTTATTTTTTTTGTTGGCTGTAGAGCTTTAACTCAGGATTTGGGTACTGACCTTTAGCTTTTTCACTCAAGGCTGTCACTCTACCACTTGACCCACAGTTCCACTTCCTGGCTTTTTTGCTGGCTAATTGGAGATAAGAGTCAGGGACTTTTCTTTCTTTCTTTCTTTCTTTTTGGGGAGGGGGGTCCGGTCATGGGGCCTGAACTCTGGGCCTGGGCACTATCCCTCAGCTCTTCAGCTCAAGGCTAGCGCTCTACCACTTGAGCCACAGCGCCACTTCCGGCTTTTTTTTTCTTTTTTCTTATGTGATGCTGGGGAATCGAACCCAAGGCCTCATGCATGCAAGGTAAGCGCTCTATCACTGAGACACCTTTCCAGCCCCTCTTAGGGACTTTTCTTTCTGGGCTGGCTTCCAACCACGATTCTCAGATCTCACCCTCCTGAGTAGCTAGGATTACAGGCATGAGACACCCGTTCCTGGCTTCTTCATGAATTTTTGAAATTGCTTTTGATCAGTGATTAAAGCAAACACTGTAATATTGGCTGATGTGGGTTCAATGTGCATAAACCAAAGTTATGCTCTTTATATTTACAAGGGAAAAGGGTAATGGAAACTAAATGGAAGTAGTTTCTCTTTCACTTGAAATTGTTTAAATACTAATGCCAATAGACTGTAACATAGTATTGAAGTAAGGACACTGGATCTAAGCAATATGAAGCAGTATGCCTTGTCCTTACAGCCATTTTAGGTGCCTTGCCAGGTGGAGGGAGCTTTCCACACTGCTCTAAAAAACTCCATTAGAATTAATAGAGGACATTCTTTGGAATATAAATGTGTCCTGGGTTGTTAAACTCCAGGAAAGTCTTACTTCCCTTAGATAATAGACCTTGATTTCTCCTGATTGTTTCCTTAGATGGTTGGCTTTGCTTATATTTAACACCTTTAATAGGTGTATCTCATCTGATTTGCGTTGCTTATATTTAACACCTTCATTAGGTGTAAGTATCGCATCCGATTTGCTTTGCTTATATTTAACACCTTCATTAGGTTTATGCGTCCTCATTTGGTTTGCTTTGCTTATGTATAACATGTTTGGTAGGATAAATTCCTCATACCTTGTTGGTTTTGGCCTATATAAGGTTTGTGCTAGCTGCATTCAAGGCTGCTGGTCTTTGAGACTAGAGTCCACCAGCAGTTCACGGCTCTCCAATAAACATTCCCAGTTTGTCCTCTTAAGTGGTCGATTCTCTCTTTCTTGTGACCGAGTTTCCCTTACAACAGTATGTATTATGAGCATGAGCCACCAGCACCTGGCTTGTGATGAATATTTTAATTCCTGTAGTAACTAGCAAATAACTATACAACTCTAAGCTCAAAAACACTGTAGATAAAATATAATTAAAGTAATTATGTACCTTACAAAAAGACAAAAAATGGAAATAGAAAAAATCAAAGGTATGGTGTAAAGTACACCTGTACTCTTAGCTACTGGACAGGTGGATATAGGAGAACCATAAATCATGGTCCAGACTGTTGTTTATGTCTGAATGGACCTTGATACTCCTATATATTCTTCCCACATTGCCACGATGATACATGTGCACCACTATGTTTGGCTTATTGGTAGTGATGGGTTCTTAATGTAAGGTATCTAGTTACAAGTCCAGTCACAAGAAAACACAGGAGCCTCCTTTTGAAAGATCAAATGGGGAGTCTTTATTAGAAGGCCTGGAAAAGTTATCAAGATCCTATCTCAAGGGCTGGGAAGGTGGCTCAATGGTAGAGTGCTTGCCTTGCACGCATGAGGCTCTGGGTTCGATTCCTCAGCACCACATAAGCAAAAAAGAAAAAAGCCAGAAGTGGCGGTGTGGCTCAAGTGGTAGAGCGCTAGCCTTGAGCTGAAGAGCTGAGGGACAGCGCCCAGGCCCAGAGTTCAAGCCCCACGACTGGACCAAAAAAAAAAAGATCCTATCTCAAAAGCAAGATAACAACCAAAAGGGCTTTGAGCAAGGCTGACCAGTAGAGCATTTGTTTCTAGGTTTACTCCCCCAGTACAAACAAAAAGACAATAAAATAGCAGGTTTTGTCATTGAATGGGGTGAGGTTTAGTGAAGCTTCCCTTCAGATATGGCAATTCTTCACTTAGGGTCCTTGACTTCAATTGCAGAATAAGAATTTCTGGACAAGTCACAATAGTAAGAAAACTTGGCAGAGCTTTATTAAGTAAGCAAGCAGACAAGCAGAGAAACAGACCAAAAGCAGACAAACAGAAGGGCAGCAGCACATTCTAGCAAAGTATGGGTGCTCTCATAGGGAGATAGAGACCCAGACCCAGAGTGAGAGACACACACATACAAGGAAACAACCAGAGAGACACAGACTCAGAGAGAGACAGAGAGACAGAGAGAGGCACATACACAAGGAAACACCCAGAGAGACACCACTCCTTGTACTGTTGGGGTATTTATAGGGTAAAGGCAAGGAGTCTGGCTTGCTGTAACCACACCTGGTGTTATTCCCACAGTTCCCAGGTAAGAATGCATCCTCTCAGACAGTTGTTAATCCTTGGGTGAGAATTGCAGTTGTTAATCCCTTAGGAAGGAATACATCCTGCTGTCTCTCTTTGAAGCAAAGATGGCACTTTAGTAATTATAAATATCATTATTTCTGAGTTGCCTTCACCAGGCCTCAGTTTCCTTCAGTTAACCCTATTTCATTTCCCTTAATCTTAAGGGAAGTACATGAAGGACTATCTCCTATATTTGCTGTAAGCTGACCATTTCTTATTTTCCCTTCATTGACCTTGCTTCATTTCCCCCCAAATGACTATGTTCCCTTAATCTTAAGGGAAGTAGGTAGACAAGCTTTAAGCTTGAGTCTTTGAATCCCTGGCAGTCTTTTCCCTAGGCTATCCTGCCTCACTTTAAACTCTAACATTGATAATGTCTTCAAAAGTAATGGTTGAAGAATAACAATGAAAGCTGAGAGCTAGACATCAGTGGCTCACACCTGTAATCCTAGCCATTCAGAAGGCTGATATTTGAGGATTGCAGTTTTAAGTCAGTCTGGGCAGAAACGCTCTAGAGACTCTTGTCTCCAGTTAACCAGCAAAGAAATAAAAACAAAAACAGAACTTAAATGGTAGAGGGCCAACTTTGAGCAGAAAAACCTGAGCAAAAGCTTGACCTTAAGTCTTTGTGCCAACAAAAACAAAAAACTAAGGCTGGGTGTGATAACACACATCTGGAATCTCGACTACTTGGGATGCTGAGAGGATCTCATTTTTGAGACCAGTCCAGACAGAAAGGTACCAATGAAGTGAGGGAATTCTCCACCCAGTGCTGAAAAGCCTTGAGGTGAGAGAGGCCATCATTGAATGAGAATGCCAAGCTCAAGGTGAACTAGGAGGGCTCTGCTTCAGAGAAATTCCGGAGTGGTGTCATAGCCTTAGGAAAGCTTTGCATAGAGAAAGCATTGATCTTTTTTTTTTTTTTTTTGGTTGGTCATAGGGCTTGAACTCTGGGCTTGGGTGCTGTCCCTGTACTCTTCAGCTGAAGGCGAGTACCGCTTGAGCTGATTACCTCCCTAAATGGGTTGAATCACTTGCCTCTAAGATCTCTCCCATATGGAAGGTTGAGGCATATCTTCCTTATATGGAAAAGTTCTGGTGGTATCTGAACAGGTACCGGTGTATGTCCATACTTGCATTTGTTGGGCTTGAGTTCCTCTATCCCAAGCATGTGGTTGTTGTATTTAAAAGCTTTGTGTAAGCTCTGTTCAGGCCTGCTGGTCTTTGAGACTGGAGACCACCATGCAATCACTGGTCTTCTATTAAACAATCCCGATTTGACGTTTCCAAATGAGGCTTCTGGGTTTTCTGGTGACTGCATTTGTATCTGAGATACCTTACTTACATCTAGAACCCATGACAACCAATAAGCCAAACAGTGGTGTACATGTATCATCGTGGCAATGTGGGAAGAATATATAGGGGGATGGAGGTCTTCAGGTCCATTCCTACATAAATCACAGTCTATTAAAAGAAACACTAAAACAAAAAGGAACTGGATTCCTGGCTCAAATGGTAGAACACCTTCTTAGCTAATGTGAAGTAGCATTGAAGCCTCATAAACAAAGGGAAATATAAACCCATGATGGTCTCCTTAACTAACCAGGGAACATAGTGCTTAGAGGAACATATATTCCATGTTTAGAAATAAAATGGTAACGAGGAAACTCACCAACAAGGGATTAAATGCAACAAATAAATACACCAAAAAGAAACAAGCACATCCCAAACATACCAGAATTTGCTATCACTGTATGCACATTTACTGCATTATGCAAATTAAAGAAAGAGTTAATTAAGAGTTATGCTAGTTCTACTTCATGGTGAGAACATGGAAAAAGTGTGGAAGTGTGCCAGGGAGGAGCTTTCTGGATGCGGCTTCTTCCAGAACCAGCACAGCAATCCACACCAGCCAGTTGTTACTCCTACTTCAAAAGAGAGGATTCCCAAAGAGTGATCCCTGGCCTTAGCTCCTTCCAAACCTCTCAGGCCTCAGGCTATGTACAAACCCCGGAAGGAGAGGTGGAGCTTCATGGGGGGGGTGGGACCTATCGGTGGAGATATGTACATAAGAGCCGAGGCAAGTGATTGGAGCCTTCCTGAAGGGGCCACTCTGCCAGCTGGGTCTAAACCATGGAGTATGATGGGGCAGATCTATACTGAGAGAATGAAGGAGGGGGAAGGATGTGACACGGGGGTAAAGCCCTGTGTCCTTAGATTGTACAAGCGAGATGGAGGCGGCAGGGGCAGCTGTAGGGCCCGGAAAGCATTCCTGCTCCCGAAGGCCAGTCACAGGGGCGTCTATACAAATAAGCGTGGTCTGTGGACTGGGCGAGAGTAGTAAGCTGAGCCTGCGCGAAGCAGTCTCTGCAGCAGCCACGGCCGAGGGGCGGGGCTCCGATTGGGGCGGGTGTTTGCTGAGGGAGCATAGCTGGAGGAGCTGGGCACGGATTGGGGCGGGTTGACTGTGCGGTCCTCTAGCGGGAGGAGGGGCAGAGGCGGCTCGAGGGCGGGGAGAACCGAGAGGGCCGGGAGAGCCGGGGGCGGGGCTCCCAAGGGCGAGGGTCTCCACCGAGCTTCGACTCCAGCCGCCCACAAGCCTCGCGCGCTCTCGCAGGTACCGGGTCGGCCGGGTGTGCTGCGGCCCGGGGCCCATGGCGGCGTCGGCGGCTCTGTCGGTGGCGGCGGCGGCGGCGGCCCTGTCCGGCCTGGCGGTGCGGCTGTCGCGCTCCGCCGCGGTCCGAGGCTCGTACGGCGCCTTCTGCAAGGGACTCACGCGCACGCTGCTCACCTTCTTCGACCTGGCCTGGCGGCTGCGCATGAACTTCCCCTACTTCTACGTGGTGGCCTCGGTGATGTTCAATGTCCGCCTGCAGGTGCGCATCGAATGAGCGCCCGCGGCGGGGGCAAGCGGCCGGCCGCCGTGGCCCGCGCCCGGGCTTCCGGCCAGGACGCCGGGACCTGAAGGACAGCGGCGAGGCCCAGGGGCGCGAGAACACGGCCGAGGACAGAGGCCGGGCGGCCGGGGCCCTCCGCTGCTCCCCACCTCCGCGGACAGGCGACGGTCACCCGGCCCGGGCCCCGTCCCAGACGGCCGAGCCACTCGTGCAACCGGTCCTTTGCAACGGGACCTGGAGAATTGCAGTCCGTCCGACCTGTTGCCTCGCGGTGGCCAAAGGGGACAACAGGGAGGACGCAATTCCACCGCGGCCACTTGATTTGCCAGGCCCCGGGCTGCAAGGTAAGGGCGACAGGTTGCAGTGCGGGTGGCGGAGGGGTTGCTATGACATCTCGATGTCGAGGCGCCCCGGAGGTTTAGAGGAAATATGGAAGACACCCGGGCAAAGCAGCCGGCGAAGCTGCCGAGCCGAGCTGAGAAACGGAAAGGCGGGCAGAGGCTCGGGCGCACGCACTGGGGTGAGGGGCGGCGGCGGAGGCGGCCTCTGCATCTCCGAGGGTCAGCCCATCACCCCGACAGGAAGCCCCTCCCGCCCACCAACCAGTCCCCGCCCCCTTGATGGGGAGGCCCGGATGGTGTCACCTGAACCCTGGGGAATTGGGGGTGGGGGGTGTCGAGGACTCCCTGGGAAGGTTGTAGAGGAAAAAACACAGATGCACCCACTCTTCATCTTTCGCAGGTACCCAGACAGAAGGATGGCTCCCTTCTGAGCCAAACCTAAGTCTGTCCCTTTCTCAGGCAAGAGGCCTCTGGGCTTCTCAGCAGATCTGCCCAGTTCTTCGCAAGACTGCCTCCTGCCTTCTCTTTGGGGCCAGGGGACTGGTGTCTGCCGCCTCCTGCTGTTCCTCTGCTCCTCAGCACCATCTGCGGTCATGGTGAAGACACCGAGTTTGCTGGTAGGAAAGAGTGGGCAAGACGGCTTCCCTACCCATCCCCTTCTCCCACAGTCTGGCTCTTCAGCCAGCCGCTGCTTCCAGCAGTGGCTAATGGGACCTCTCAGAGCCACAAAACTCCAGACATGCACAGCACGGCGACCCACTATGTGGAAAAATGAGAAGGTCTCCTGGAGTGGGCAGCACTCTCGAGCTGTGGTGGGGAGGGCAGGGGGGAGAGGGGATTGCAGAGGAGGATGCAGGGCAGACAAGGCCGTCTCTGGGTGGCCAGGCAACTCACTCTGAGGTCTCTATCCCTTGCTTGTTGAGGCATTGGTTTTTGTAGCTGGTGGCCTGCCCCTTCCCTGGCCTTGTCAAGAGTCAGATCCCTACCTGAAGTACCCTGGGTCCAACAGCTGCTTTCAGGTAGAGGACCAGAGGATAGTGTGGCCCAGGGAAAGATGCCCGGTTCCCAGAGCACTGAGATCTCCTAGCAACACTGAGAGAGATGTATTCTCTTGCCTAAAGAGCCCAGTGGGGCTCTGGGCATGGGCAGGGGTTTGTCCTTGTCATACAGATAGAAGGGATTGAGCCCAGGCTGACCTTGGGTCTGCACTCTGCCACTCCCGCCCAGACTTCAAGACCTGGGAAGGGATGAGGTAGGGAGAAATCACAGAGTTCTCAGGGAACCTAGGGAGAAAAGGCCAGAGTAGGGACTCGACTCGGGAGATCTTAGAGGCATATAGAAGGTCAGAGGGAAGATAGGACAGCAGTGAGCTGAGATGGGTCCACAAACACTTCACCACAAAACCTCCTGACCCTCCTGGAGTTCTAGACCAGTGGCTCCACAGCACTTGTGTGGCCAGAGCCTCCCAGTGTTGGTGGAGTAAGGCTTATAGTGATGATGGTGGCTCCTGATGGCAGGATGTTGCTGAGAGGGTGAGGGGTTAAACCAGTGCTTTTTCTTTCTTACGTTTGTTTCTAACATATTTATAACAGGATTTCTTCGTTCCTTTGTATGGCCCTCCCCCACGGTATAACCTCTCTTTTCACTGTTTTTGATGTTGGTATAATTTGTGGAGGAGAAGGGAAAAAACAAATCATTTAAATAGGGATACAGGTGGACCCATTGCAACAATGAGATGCACAAGACGTTACGTCGAAAAACGAACTTTACAACTTTGGCACGGGGTGCAGGGGGCGGGCGATGGGAAGGGATAGGAAGGGGAAACAAAGGTAGAGGCAACAAGGCTTGGTAAGAAATATACTCATTATCTTGCCCATGTAATTGTAAACCCTCTGTACAATATTTTCACACACACACATACACACACACACACACACACACACACACACACAAAAGCCTGGGGTAAGATGGGCTGGAACCCATGACATGACTGCATCTCTCTGTCTCCAGGTTCTGCCCTCATCTCCAGGATCATATGGGAAAATCTCACCCAGATGGACTGAGAGTGGCTCAGGAGTCCCTGGCTATGCTAATCACAGTGACAAACAGGCCAGGAGAAGCGCAAGGGATGCCCTTACCAGTTGTCCATTCTTCAGCTTCCCTGGTAGTGCTGACTGGAGGCCCGTGTTCTCACTGCCTTGGATGGAAACCTGCAGCAGTGTGACCAACCCAGGGAACAGAGTGGCCCAGCCTCTCACCATCTGCCCTGTTCAGCTGCCCACTGGAGCCAAGGACCTGAAGGACCATCTCTGTCTAACCCCATAGGCACAGGCTGGAAGGGGGGCTGCTACTGCCTACCTGTGGGTTCCCCTAGCCCAAGACTGATGGTTTGCTTCCTTGTGCCAAGTCTCCCAGAGCCCCTAATCCTGCTGGTGCCTCTCATCCACCCAGGAACAGCTCTGGGCAGCTGTCAGATTCTTCCCTGACCCATCCAAAGCAGGCCCCTTGTGAGGTGACAAGAAAAGCCAAAGTCAGGGGCCTCCAGAAATGGCAGTGCCCATCCAAATCCCCTCTGGGCAGCTGCCTCCCTAGCTTCAGCCTCTTCCTAAGCAGCTAGGAAAGGACGAAGGCCCATAATCTGGTATCCTTGCATGTTTGAGCCAGTGGCATTGTTCTATGTGTGTGTGTGAGTGTGTGTGTGTGTGTGTGCGTGCATAATCTGGTATCCTTGCATGTTTGAGTCAGTGGCATTGTTCTGTGTGTATGTGTGTGTGTGTGTGTGTGTATGTGTGTGTGTGTGTGTGTGTGTGTGTGCATAATCTGGTATCCTTGCATGTTTGAGTCAGTGGCATTGTTCTGTGTGTGTGTGTGTGTGTGTTTGACCATGCCTGTGCTGGGGGTGGAGCTGCTGGGGTATCCTCCCTGTATATAAGGGGCTTGGACCACAGCAGTCTTGGGTCCTCACCTTCCCAGTCCCTTGCAGGGGATACAGTCTCACCCCTTCCCAGAGGCAATAGCCTGGAGAGAGCCAGGACCAGGCCTCCTTGTCTTCCTGCCTTCCTGTGGCCTTGGGTCATTAGAGCTCTGCTCTCTCCTCCCCTCATGGCTGCGCCCTCCTCTGTGGGGCCTTGCTGTATGATGGGGTCTCCATGCACTTTATTTATTGGCAGTCTGTGTTCCTGGAAGTAGAAGCTCAACAAATGTTGAGACATCACCAGGGCGACTCTAGTTTTCTGTGTGATGAAATGCACTGCCAGCAGTCTTGTCAGGAATGGGGTCTTGTTTTGCTGTAGTAATACCTTGTTGGTTCTTCATATGTAAAGAAATTCCTTGTGTTCTGTATACCAAATGCTGACTGGAGGCCTCCTGTTTCTGCTGTGTGTGCCATGCTGTAGCCCAGGGAAAGGTGGGGAGGGTGGAGACTGCACTTTCCAGGCCAAGGTCTGGGGGGCACCTCAGAAGGCTGAGGGGGCCACGCGGGGATCCTGCTGCTCCTTCAAGAGCCACTCCAACCCCGACTCATATCCCTACCTGTGGAAAACAGCAGTAGCAGAGCTTGGCCTTGGGATGGGAGACTCAGTGGGCCATACCTACCCCTTCAGTAAGAAGACATGCGGCATGATTCTTTTCTTCCATTTTAGAGCCTGTTGTGGACATGACCAGTTCAGTGGCTCTGGGGGTAAGGGGAATTGAAACTGACTGTGTGTCACTTTGTGTAGCCCATTGACCCCTTTGTAGCAGCAGGTGGGCGAGTCCCTACTGCCTTCCTGCTGGCTGGTGGCTGAGGACTCTTGTGGATAAACCACCCACCAGGTCCTAGATCTGCATGTTGGCTTCCCTCCCCTGACCATAGCCCCAAACTCTTTCCTAGCAGAGCCCCACCCCCAGCTCTCCAGAGGAGCCAGGCATTGAAAGGGGAAGTGAAATGAGGATGGCAATAGAGCACAAGGCTGGGGGGCAGGAAAGCACCAAGTATGGCAGGGGGGGGGCTGGGAAGTCTGGGGAGGCACCTGGACAGGAAAGGGATGGCTGGGGAAAAGGTAGGGGTTGCCAGTCAAGATATTTATCTTCAAAATCACATCCCTGAAGCTGGGATTCAGTGACCAGAAAGCAGGTGTGACCACAACCACCTTCCAGTTCTCAGGAGGAACACCATCAGGTAAGCAAAGGCTGCGTGATGGCTCTCACCAACAGGAAAGAGTCAATGAAGCTGAAGGTGACCACTGCTTCCCATGCATCATAAGCCACCCAGGCCCCTAACAAGTGGGCTGTAATTCACACCTAGAAGTCTTACTGGAGGCAGAACATTCAGGCATACATACTGATACTTTTCTGAGAGTGCATGAAGGGAAAGAAGGGACATGAGGAGCTTGGGCAGGTACTGAGTCCCAATTCACCCTATGTGTCACAATCATTGTCATCAACATGCTAAGGGAAATTTCCCCATTCACTAGTTACCAACGGGTACATGTTAGCAGGAAGATCAACAAGCCCAAAAGGAAGCTGGGCATGGTTGCTCATGCCCGTAATCTCTGCTACTCAGGAGGTCGAAGGAGGAGGGTCATAAAAGTTGAGGGCAAGCTTGGCAAAGGGACTGAGATCCTGTCTCAAAAAAGAGTCAGTGGGGAGAGGCAGCTCGAGTTGTGGCTCAAGTGGCTCAAGTGGCAGGACATCTGCCTAATAAGTA